GTTGTGTCTGTAAGCTGCACCATTCAGTCGACACATCTATTATCGGAGAAGGTATCAGTTATTATTGTCGTTGTTGTTGTTCTTCTTCTTCTTCTTTTTCTTCTTCTTCTTCTTCTTCTTCTTCTTCTTCTTCTTCTTCTTCTTCTTCTTCTTCTTCTTTTTTCCTAATTATTATAATTATTATTATTATTATTATTAAACCCAACGTGAGAAAGTAAATCGAGAAGGAATTCAACAATAATATGGATAGTCTCCGAAAAGATTTATGACATAAAAAACAATCCTGGAAAATAAGATATATGACGCTGCTAAAAACTTCAAGTAATAATAATAATAATATTCATAATGATAATTGGTCACTTCATATCTGGCTGTCCAGTCTTGACACCAAAGGGATACGAAGATTGGGCAGTATATATAGAAGATAAGTCAATATTATAGTGCGCCACATTCTTAAAACTTGTATAAACAACACCCTGAACAAGTCATAGAAAACCATGAGGTCACTATTCTTTGGGACATTACAACTCATCCTTACAAACTAAAAGCTAATAGATCAGACATTGTGATTAACGACCACAAACAAAATGATGCCTCTTCATAGATATGGCAGTGCCATTAGATAAAAATGTCTGTCAAAGAATATAACAAAATAAATAAATATAAGGATATGAAAACTGAAAAATGTGGCACCTTAAAACAACTACTATACCTATAATTGGAGGCCAGTAATATATATAAATACATACATATACATACGTTTAATTATGAGAGAAAGAAAGAAAGAAAGAAAGACAATGGGAAAAAAGACAGAATAAGAAAAACACAGAGAGAGAGAGAGAGAAAGAGAAAGAGTGAAAGATAAGGTGAAGAAAGTGAGAAAGAAAGTTAAAGTAATAAATGCAGAGAAGAAAGACATAGTGATGAAAACAGAGAGAAAGGCAGAGAGAGAAAGGCAGAGAGAGAAAGGCAGAGAGAGAAAGGCAGAGAGAGAAAGACAGAATGAGAATGAGAGTGAGAAAAACAGGGAAAGAAAGTCAGATAAATAAAAGAAAGACATACTGAAAGATTCATATGGGTGAAAAGGTTTCATTTTAAACATTTTTCCCATTCTCGGGTTATTTCTCTATAAACCGCAGATGACATTTTTCATGTTATAAATAAGAATTATTAAGTATTTTATACAGTAATTTCACACTTAACAACTTACTTATTTACCGATCAACTGGCATACGATAAGTTATTCAAACATTATAAATGAATAAAAATTGTTTTAAATAAAATCAGTCCTCATTTAACGACTTACCTGTATAACGACCAACTAATAATACACGACCAGTCATTCATAGTTTATAAATAAATATGTTTATTTTTACTTTTATTCACAGTCACGTCTCATTTAACGACTTACCTGTATAACGACCAACAAATATATGACCAGTCATTCATAGTTTATAAATAAATAAATATGTTTATTTTTCCTTTTATTCACAGTCATTTATTATTATATTTATAATTTATTTTTACTTTTATTCACAGTCACTTCTCATTTAACGACTTACCTGTTTAACGACCAACTAACATACGACCAGTCAGTCATATTTTATAAATAAATAAATATCTGTTTATTTGTATTTACAGTCACTTCTCATTTAATGACTTACCTGTTTAAGGATCAACTAATATACGACCAGTCATTCATATTTTATAAATAAATAAATATCTGTTTATTTTTATTCAGAGCCACTTTTCATTTAACGACTTACCTGTTTAACGAACAACTAACATACGAGCAATCATTCATATTCTATAAATAAATAAATATCTGTTCATTTTTATTCACTGTTACTTCTCATTTAACGACTTACCTGTTTAACGAACAACTAACATACAACCATTCATATTCTATAAATAAATATCTGTTTATTTTTATTTACAGTCAATTCTCATTTAACGACTTACCTGTTTAACGACCAACTAACATACGAGCAGTTATTTATATTTTACAAATAAATATCTGTTTATTTTTATTTACAGTCACTTCTCATTTAACGACTTATCTGTTTAACGACCAACTAACATACGACCAGTTATCCTTGTTTTATAAATAAATAAATATCAATTTCTTTTTATTTACAATCACTTCTCACTTAACTACCTACCTGTTTAACGACCAACTGACATGCAAACCGTCGAAGTTATTCATACGTAAAAATTATTAAAAATCGGTTTCTTTTTAAGTACAGTTATTCTCATGTAACGATTTACTAGTTTAAAAAACGCTGTACTTACGAACAGCTATAAAATCTCATAGAATAAAAAATAAACTCAAATAGTCTGTATAGTACATTGTACGCAAAGTTTTGATTGAAATTGTTTCCTCTTTCTTCGAAATGAATAAATAAAGTGAAAAATAAATAAAAATTTACTTACACCATATTTACAGTATGCAAACCAAAGTAAATACAGACTATAGAGTTGATTCATTGAATTTGTTTATTACACTGACTGTTCAATACATTACTGTATAAACATGAAGAAATACATTAGAAATATTACAAATGTTGCAAAAATGTCGTTAAAGATATTAGAAGTTGGTTGACACAAACTCATTACATGCATAATATACCTAATAAGAGTCAGGTACAACTTGTAACTTAGCAACCATCTAGTTCAAAGACCAAGCTCTTTGGAATTGAATCGGATTGTTACGTCATAAGTAACTGCATTGATTTTAATAATACAAATTTTAAGATTAGACAATAATTAAAATGAAAGCAATGACTTTTAGACGATTAATAATGGTGGTAATATGTTAATGCTATTTCGTGTTCAAATAAATGGAACGTGTTATATTTGCATGTATTTGGTAACAGTTCATGTGAATTTACTCAATTTTGAGTAAACTCCCTTTATTTATCTTTTACAGTTAAAGATTATTAGGAGTTTTATGTTTTGTTTATGTAAATATTTTTTCTCATCAGGTTTGCTTATAAACAATTTGTATATTTGTTGACAATATGCTATAGTTTAAATTCTGTTATCTGTTCTAGCTTTGAGATATATATATATATATATATATATATATATATATATATATATATATAAATTAAAATTAATTGATTTAAAATATGTTTTTTTTTCGCTACACAGTTCTAACCATGTTTCAAAAATGGAAGCTAAAAGCCCCAAATTTAATTTTGTAATTAAATTAAAGACATTAGTTCCATTTCATCCTCAAGCGAATTTTGGAGTAACTTTTAAAATTACTGGGTTTTAAATACACGGCTAAAACAAAATTCATGTTTCCAAGGTTACAGATGAATCTATTTTTCTAGACAGGGTGTTCAATATATATATATATATATATATATATATATATATATATATATATATACCAGGTGTAATAGCAAAATTGTCAGACAGGGGTGTCTGGGTGTTCAATATATATATATATATATATATATATATATATATATATATATATATATATATATATATATATATATATACCGGGTGTAACAGCAAAAATTGTCCAAATCGTGTTACAGCATGATTGTCCATCCCACAAAATGTATAATGTCTAAATAACAGTAAACTAATTTAGTTTTTTTCCAGATTTTCAGGTAAGATGTTTAGCCATTTTGATACCATTTGTCTAAGAAACACTGAATAACCCTTTGAGTTTTCAGCTAGAAAGAGAAAAAGTTAAAATCGTTTTGTGTCAGCCCCACTCTCTACCCAATCGTGCAATGGTTAGAGGAAAAAGATCATTCAGTCCTTCAGTAATGGTACCAACATTCATACTCTGGCTTCCATCTTCAAAGTCTATTCAAGAACCATCAAAAGAACAGTGAATGACATTCAGACAAAGGGAACAGTAGAAAGAAAACTGGACTAAAAGGTCACAACAGGAAAAAGTATCATCATTTCAACTTAGACCTAAAGAGATCAATTAGAAAAGATCCAATTCAATCCTTAAGATGTTTGGCATGTAAGAGAGGAGGTTCAGCTATGACTGTCCAAAGAGCCGTGAAAAAAGATTTGAACATGAAATCGCGTGAGGTAACTTGTTACTCAAGGACAGAAAGTTAGAAAGTTAGAGAGGGTGAAGATCATCTTCAATAAGCTGGAAAAAGATCCCTCTTTCCTTCAATGCTTCATGAGCTTCCGATCCTTAACAGTGATTAATTAATGATGAACATATCATTTTCGTTTATGATCGATTTCATTACGATACTTCTATTCAGCTTATATAGTAATATAATTGATCAAAGTAGAGTACAATAGTGTTATAAAAATACCTCGGAGAATTCCAGTAAGTTATCTTTAATCGTTTCTAAGATACAATGATTCAAACTTAATCTAACAATTGGACAGTTTTACTGTTACATCCGTTATATATATATATATATATATATATATATATATATATATATATATATATATATATATATATATATATATGTAGAGAGAGAGAGAGAGAGATTCTATCATTACTATGCTGAGAAAAGCAATATATATATATATATATATATGTGTGTGTGTGTGTGTGTGCGTATGCAAATGAAATTGTTTGCATAAAGAACATTGAATCGGACTTCAAAAAAATAAAAGAAAGCATAAATACAACTCCTTCAAATGAAACTAAAAAATAAGTTGTAAGCGATATTGAAAATAAGCGAAATTAAGAACATAAAGTATTGATTGATTTGTTTCTTTCTTTTTTTTTTGCAGTTTATCAACCTCTTTCAGGTTATTTAAAGCCAGATAATAATTTTAAATTGTAAGAAATTGTTGGAGATAAAAATGATTTACCGATACAAGAAATACTTATTAACCCATAGCTGGGGTAATAGGTGACTTCATACTCATCCAAAGATTAATTTTTATATGTATTTATTGTAAGTGAATATAACAAACCCAACACGAATTGGAACTCGGCTCTTAGATTTCCAATTCCGAGCCGTTATCAATTGTACCAACCGTACACACAATTTTACAGCACCTGGTATTCCCAAGCAATCACCCATCTAGATACTGGCCAGGCTTGAAGTTGCTTAAAATCGGTGATCGTACGAGAACCGGTGTTTCAACGCAATCATTATGAATTTAAATAAATTATGGCTAAACAAGTGGGTATAACGAATAGATTTATTTGTATCGTGAAATCCGTCAGCGACAAATCTAAAAAATAAGTGTACACAACAAAGACAATAATAGTAATAATAACAATAATGACAATAATAATAAGAACGAAAACAACAATAATAATAATAGCATCAACAGTAGGAATAATAATATTAATGACAATAATAATAATAACAACAATAATAATGACAACAACAACAACAATAATACTAATAATAACAATAATGACAATAATAATAACAACAACAATAATAATAACAACAATAATAATAACAATAATGACTAATAATAATAATATCAGTAGTAATAATAATATTAATGACAATAATAATAATAATAACAACAACAATAATAATGACAACAACGACAATAATAATAATACTAATAATAACAATACTGACAATAATAACAACAACAATAATAACAACAACAATAATAACAATGACAATAATAATGATAATAATGATAATAATAACAACAACAACGATAACAACAACAATAATAATAATAATAACAATAATAATAATAACAAAAGCAACAATGATAATAACCAAGGATGGAACTAAGACGAAATGCAGGATCTGAGGAAAATACGATGAACCATATTATCTCAGGATGTCCAGAACTAGCAAAAAATGAATATACCCATAGTCATAACAAGGTAGTACTAGAAGATATGCAAGAAGCACAAAATCGAAACCACTGAGAGATTCTATGAGCACTAAACTGACACAGTTATTCAAATAACAATGTAACTATCCTCTGGGACATGCAAATTCAGGCAACATCATAAAAGACAAGAAATTCAGTAAGCATATTTTTTATTGACATAGCAGTAGCATCTGAGAGAAATTGTCCAACGACCTGGAGAACAGGATGTGTGGGGATGAAGACTGTACCAATAGTAAGTCCTGGTCCTCGCTAGAAAAGTGATGGACAATTTTACAAACAGTGTCCCATGTAACATCAACATGCAACTTGCCCGGAAAATCGCCCTACTACGAACATCCCATATATAGTAAGAAAAGTGCTATCAATTAAATGAAAATTCTCCTATAGAATCTAAGAACCATAGTTTGGACCCGGCTCTACAGGATACCGAGTAGGAAACATGACATACACTGATGATAATAATAATAATAATAATAATAATAATAATAATATCACGTTTACTGCTTTTAAATGATCGGAGGTGTGAGCATCTACATGATATGTGTTGGTAAATTAGGATGGGTTAACATAAATATCCCGTTCAGTATCACGCATTTGCTTGTCAGTTGCGTGACTACAACCAGTTGAGCAAGTGCACTAGAGGTTGGCACATTTTGTCTCTCAGCTTATGTTCCGGTGTTGTGGGAGTAACACATGTCCTTGTGTCGATGGTGTTGTTTTTTTTTTGTTTTGTTTTTTTTTAAGTTTAAGGCATGAGACAGCCAAGGCGATTTAGGTGTCACTAGATTTTGTTACCAGATTTATTTACCTGAACTAAAGGTTCTGCACGGTTTTTATGAATACCTGTTGCCATATCGCGTACATTTGGCTGGGATGCATGTGCTCGTTATAGCTTTATTAGACTGGGTGCCATTATAGATATATTAGGCCTCGTATATTTGCACCACAGTTTGTTTGCGTACTAATCTCTCACTGAATACAACTGCTGCTACTCCTACTACTACTACTACTACTACTAATAATAATAATAATAATAACAGAGATAAATTAGAGGGATATGAGATGTGAGTTATGTCAATGTATGTTGGAACATTAGCAATGACCACAAAAGCCAAGGGGAAGACAGGAGAAACTGTAAATCTGGGGAAAAGTTGGAACAATCCAGACAACAATAATATAACTTAAAAGAATACAGAACGCATTTACGATCATAAATGCGCATCTATATCCATAGACATTCAAATAGATAGATAGATAGATAGATAGAGAGAGAGAGAGAGAGAGAGAGAGAGAGAGAGATACGAACAGACTGATAGATAGATAGATAGATAGATAGATAGATAGATAGATAGATAGATAGATAGATAGATAGATACGAACAGACTGATAGACAGAGAGGCAGACACTGTGTTTTAAATGGAGAGGCATACTTGAATAAAAAGGTGATTTTGAATTATTCTATTTTTTTACATTTTCAATAATAAAAGATCATGTGCTAGAATGCTTGCAGCCTCAATCAAAGACCGGGAGAAAACATTACAAATAAAAACAGTGGTTGAAACAGATTTTTTCTAAAAAAAAAATAAATAATCATAACTGCCGATCTATTTGAAACAGATAGATAGATAGATAGATAGATAGATAGATAGATTTTTTTAACATTTCACTTCAAGGTAGGCAGTAGAACTAAGTTGTAAGGGTGTTACTGAGTATAATAGAGCCAAAGAAAGAACAGTAATTAAGAAGACAGTAGATAGCGATTGGCATTGAATTTAAATATTTGAAGATCGAAGTTGATTGGAAATCAAAAAACCGGAAGAGAATTTCACAAATAAGAAGTGTGATTGAAGAAATTTTTAGAATAAAACTTACATTTAGCCATTTCAACCGTAAATGATGAGACCTTACCGCCACTCTAGTACCGCGCTTAAGTCCATAAAACCTTAGTGTCATAGAGGAAAGTTCATTAATCCCTGTCATAAAAAAATATTTATAGAAAATGCACAGCGGAAGTATGTTACAGCAGAGGAAAAGTGACTGAAGCCGAGGTGCCAGGTATGAACCAATCACATTGCAGTCTTTGGATTTTATCAAGAGTTTCTAAATATATAGCAGAAGCAGAGAATCAGGCATGGCAGCAATTTTCAAAGAATGAACGAATAATATACGTATAATAGATAGATTCAGACGAGAAAAAAGTGACCAGCACAACAAATTGAATCAAGTTGCCTAGCAGTAGATCTAGCAATTGATTCTATATAATCTTTCCAATTCAATCAACAGAAAACGTTCGACCGAGAAGGTGCAATGAACACCACTCTCTTGGGGGTTAGCATCAGCCATACTAAAGAAAGGCAGAAAGACGTCTCTCAAATGATCAAAAATACAGTTTTGTTTTAAAGCCGTTAAAATTAAAAAGTCAGTTATTGCCCCAGTTCACATCAGATTGTAGGTCACTTTTGAAATCAGTGACCAATTTGATCTCATAGAACCGATCACGCTTATTATTAAGACGGGATTAATTAGTTGTGTTATCACCATAGATACAGAATTGAGGACTGATGACACCAGAGAAGTCGTTGATGAAAATTAGAAACAACGTACGTCCAAGGTTAGAGTAATGTAGGACATCTGCATTAGTACAAAAAGATCTAGAAGAGCGTCCATTCAAGACAACTTTTATTTTGCGATTTCATAAAAAAGACTGGATCAGTTCAAAAATTCGTCCAAATATACCACAATTTTTCAACTTGGTAAGAAACCCCATTATGCCATACTCTGTCAAATGCCTTCGAGATATCCAAAGCAATAACCTATGCTTCACCATTCTTATCTAAAGATTGACATACTCTTTCAGCAATAAGCGTTATCATATCAGTAGTTGATGTAAAGAAGCGAAAGCCACATTATTTATCTGGCAGAATCCCCTCTGATGCAAGATGCTCAAAGAAATTAAGCCTCTAGTACTTTGCCAAAATAAGGTAGAAGGCTAATCGACCATTAGTTAAAAGTATCGGATGATTCACCTGAATTATTAGAAACTGGAACTACAGAAGGGTACTTCTAATAAGCAGCAAAACAAGAAGCAGCAAAGCATTTATTGTAAAGTTTAGAGAGAACAGGAGTCAGTTTAGGAGAACATTTCATAAGAACTATTCAAGTTGACATGCTTTGTGAGGGTCAAGATTAGAGATGATAGCAGAAACCATGGACAGTGATATATGCGTATCACTCATTTCTTAGTGGAAAATCAGGAAAAGATACTACAGATGAGTCAAGAATAGAATTTGAAGAGAATTTACGAACAAAGCAAAATTGTGTGAAAAGAGAAGGGATACAAAAGTTACACTTTTTTTTCAAACGATTACAGAGCCATCAGTAGTTACCAGAACCAAACTAGTTAGAAGTGATACAGTGTCTCATCCTAACAATAAACAAAGACTTAGGTACTTTGAGAATACATTTAAAATTATTACGATCAGACACAAATAGAGTTTATTTTTTGTTTTTTGTTTTTTTTTTGTTTTTTTGTTTTTTGTCATCGGAACTGTCACCTTAGTACAGCTGGTAAATATTATTTCTGTAGGCTATATGTACCAAGTAGAAGATTGTGGTTTTCCCTAGTATTTCCAGCATTGGATAATTTATTGAAAGGTCAAAATTAACTGATGGTAGTGAATGCTGGACAATCTTATCACAGAGGAAGATTTTCCAGGCAACAGAGATATGGTTCTACAGATAGGCGCTGATAATACAATGGGCTGAACATGTAGATGACGAAATTTTAGAGAAAATGGAAAAAGATTCAGAAAGAGACTGTTGAAATTTCTGGGGTATTTAATGAGAAAAGGGACTTAGAAAATTTGACACTGACAAGACTTACTGAAGGCAACTGGGTCAGTGGAAAGCAGCGAATAAAATACCTAAAGAGATTGGAAGAACGAAGAATGGGAGACATAGCAAAAAGACAAACTTTCCTAAGCGCTACAAAGGACAGGAAATTTGAGGGAAACATGATCGCCCACATCCTGAAGGGATATGGCACATAGAAGAAGAAGAAGAAGAAGAAGAAGAAGAAGAAGAAGAAGAAGAAATAATAATAATAATAATAATTTCATCAATAACATTAGGAGAGTGTACACATCTTAAAACTCAGCAATGATATCTTCTCATAATTGTTATATTTATTCTGACTTTTAATTTTCCTCAGCTGCATAGATTGTAAAACCGTTATTAATTAAATGTTATTTTATGTTGCATTGCAATTTATAGAATATTGATATATTTTGCTCTACTCTCAAATCTGGTTGAAGATCGCTTGAGATGTGGAATTGTCAATTACTATTCTTGATTCCTCTGGCTACACTGTCTTTCTTACACACTCTCCACCTTTCTCTCCTTCTCTTACTATATATATATATATATATATATATATATAGTAATGATACAATATGGTAATCCGTATGGAATTTTTTTTATTTTATGACAGCTGCTTTTTTAGAGGTCTTATAAAATAAAAATTGTTACGTATGGTATTTTAAGTGTTTGATTGATATTCTATAATTATATATATATATATATATATATGTGTGTGTGTGTGTGTGTGTGTGTGTGTGTGTGTGTGAGCAAAAGGAAACGTTATCTTGGTCGACGTATTTCGTCCTCTGATGGACTTTATCAAGTGTAAGAATTTTATTTTACAAGTATTTATAACCAGAAGTAAAAAAAAAATATATCGCTAGGTTCTCAATAATCTAAGAACTCTCATATATATTCATATATTCTTCGGTTTAATTTTGAGCGTCAAGAAAAATTATAAAGATTTAATAATAATATTTCATGCAATTATAGAATAATACAAAATGTACTCTAGGTAATAAATGTCTAATCAGAAATATAATTTATAAATCTACAGTAAGAAATAATATTAATACTGAAAAAACAATTATATAGAACTATTGAAAACTTTAAGAAAAGTATTACAATCATAAATTATAATTTGAGAAAAGCAGATATGCAAATAACACGTCTCTTTCTAAGTATATATGGATACAGAAATAAAAAATGTATCCCGATAAATATTAAATGGAAAATCATAAATAAAAGGTACATCATTGCGATGTCAATAGCAATAACTGCATATTCTGTTTAGAAGAAAAATTCGAAATAATTACTTTAAAAATAAATGCTTAATTTTTTATTATGATCTTTTTATTTTTAAAAGTAATTATTTCGAATTAATTTCTAGGAAAATGCAGACATATTAAAAAATACATTCTTTGCCATATAAAACCAGATCAAGCATAATATATATGCTTGCGCGGCTGTCTGTGTGTGCGTGTCCACATATTGGATGACTGCAAATGTTTGGGACCAATTATGTATTATTTGTAAGTTTCTAATCGGAATTATATTAATATCCATTATTCAAGAAAAAAAAGTATAAATATATAGATATACTTTTAATATGGATTACAATACATCCGAAAATTTTAAAAAATATTACACAATATTCATTTCTGTAAGTATTTAAACAACTTTAACGATGAAATAAAGGAAATATAATATGTAATATTACTGATTGGAAATTTAGCCTTTTAAATGATAAAGCATGCGACGAATTTAATAAATTCAAAATATGAATTTCACGAATCGAGTTCATAAAAATTAAAATAAAATAAAACAAAATATGCAACTTAATTGATTACAAAATACAATTTCTGTATATATATATATATATATATATATATATATATATATATATATATATATATATATATATATATACATATATATATATATTTAATAATTTAATCAAAATAAAAAATAATCAATAAGTAAAATAAAATAACGAAAATTATCAGTATATATCTATTAGTAATTTGTATTAGCAAGGTGGAGTAATGGTTAGAGGCTCGGATTAAGGAATCGGAGTTGGAATTCCAGTCGAATCCATTACATTCACTTACGTACTAATAACCTTGGCAAAGTTATGAATTCTTTTCTTCTCCCAGACCGGATTCTATAGCCTTGGATGGCAACTGGTCTACTGCAGGCAGAAACGCGGGAAAAAATATGCCTCGTGAGGCATGTATCGAAATAAAAGGAGCAAGTAAGCAAACCTTAAAAGTTTGATATGTTTCGATATATATATATATATTGAATTGATTAACTTTACTTTTCTCGGGCGGCTTGTTAGTTTATTTATTTATTTGGATTAATTTAGATTAATTTATTTTACGTGTTTTTATTATTTATTTACTATACTGTATATTTTTATTTACTCTTTTCTGTTTTCGATTTTTAAGCAACGTAGTATTTATTTTATCGTTATATAACAGATATAGCTATGTTTTTCGTCTGATTTTTGGTTTGATTTTTATAGTCAACAAATTGCCAAATCACACCTGTTAGAATAGACAAAATAAAATAAATAAATAGAAAAACAAAATCAATGAACCCAAATAAAGTAAATAATAAACAAATTAACGAACCATTATGACCAAAATATTACTTTACTTTTTTTTGTAGTTTTTGTAGTTTTTTTTGTAGTTTACTTTTTTGTAGTTCTTGTAGTTTTTTTGTTTTTTTTGTAGTTTTTTGTAATTTACTTATGTGCCATACTGATAACATTCCGTTTTAAATATTGACTGAGGCAGTGGAAAGAATTGTCAAACAAAATTATTACATAAAACATAATAAAATGTAAACAGACATTGACAGTGAAATTTAACAAAACTCGTTTATCGCTACATACATTAAACATGAATGCTGTCAATTTGATAAACAAGTATGACAATCACTGACAAGATCTATCAATATTTTACTTCTCGTGAGAACAAGAACTTCTCGAAACCAACATGTGATTTGCAATGCTTACTGCAGATGTGGTAAAGTCGTTTTGTACAGGACCTGGCCTGTTTTGTAAATTCTCTTCACACTGTGTGAGACTGGAGTGGATTTTGTATGCTTTTTGATATACACTGCGTGTTCAGTTATTCCCAGTGTAGTACTGATCGTAATTTATCAATGGTCTACCAATATGATACGTCTTGTAGCTAACGAGGCCTGCATTCATCCCATGTAAATTGATGGATTGCTGGATCAATGACTTCCCCTTTGGTAGGTGCATGTTTGACATTAGCTGCAAGTCTTTGAAGCGTTTCCATGGTTTATGCTGGGGTCAAACGCAAACATATATATATGCATACATACATGCATACATACATGCATACATACAATTGCGTGTATATCATATATATATATATGTGTGTGTGTGTTTATACATCCATATATATGTGTGTGTATAC